ATTATTTAGGGTAATTTAAATATTGATACCATAAATTATGGAACATTGTACAGAGTTCTGATAACTTATAACATGAATAAAGAGCTCTATTTGAATAGTAGAATAAATAAGAAATTAATAAAGCTTTTAATAGTTGAATTCATGAGTTAATCTAAGCTAGACCACGAGTGAATACTTAAAAACACTTGACGACCGTTTCGTCCTAGTATGAAACTCTTCAGCATGCAGGGTCGTGGATGCGCACTGCTGTTTCCATGTATTTACTGATGGTCTAGCTCAAATTGGCTCATGAATTCAACCATTAAAATTACTACAATCTCCACAAACCCTCATCCTAATAATGATCAGTGGTTCTCAATCTTAAAGATCAATGATAGTAATAATCATTACAGTTGACATTATCATACTAAAAACGACTAATCATTAAAGTTGATAAATAATATTGGGAAAAAATAACTGGCGAAATACAAATGGTTCTCCAGTTTAAATTCATTCCTTGTCAATTCATCTAAACAATAAGGAATGTCTGTTCAAATACATCAAAATTAAATTATTACTAGAATTATATATTTAATTTAATTGAATATATATGAATAACAAAAGTATCACAATGTATTATAATTTGATGGTAGTGTTTATTTAGGTTTATCAAAAACAATGACTATTGTATGAAAGTAAAAAATCTGTAAAGATCGTTATAGAAAGATGAACATGCTTCATTTTACCAGGCAAAAATATAAAGTACAACAAATCATTTATGTTGAAATACTAACTACTTCTGATTGTTACTGTTAAGTTTATGAGCATGATCTTCTTGTTTGAAAGATAGTATTTATATCAATTAATTAATGATTTAGTAATTTCAAGGGTAATCTGTTCAACATGATGTATATTAGCAGTGAATTTGAATAACTAGTACAATATACCATTATTGTTTTTGATAAATAAATTAGAACTGTTATGGATTTGAATAAAAATTAAATGTAATTTATAAAGAGATCTGATATTTTTACAGCTGATAATGTCTCATTGAAACATTCAATTAAATATGAATTAACATCTTATGTAAGAATAATATCTTGGAAACAAAGTCGGTAATTGAAATTATAATAATTCCAATATTTTCTTTGACAAACTGGTCTGATCCTCTTCAAAGAAATAAGAAATATTTTGATTCATTTGTTGACTGTTTTGTTTATAGTTTTTGACACATTCAGAAATCTTTTTTTTTTTTTTGATTTTATCATATTTATAAAATCCCTAATTAGTCATTATTTTAAGTTATAAATTTCAGTTTATACTATTAATAGTACGTTAATTGACCAGTTAATTCGTTTTAGTCAGTTCACAAGTTAAAATTAATCCTTAATCACTCATGAAATATATACCAATCAAAAGTTTTGAGACAGAGACTCGAAGAAAATTCAAGTAGTCCCACTCAATTTGAATATAACATAACGACCCAGAGAGGAAATGAATAGAATTTTACAATGTCAACCATTGACTAATTTAAACACATTGTATGGCTCGAAAGTCTTGAATTGATATCCAGATGCAATCTTCGGCGCTTACTGTTGAATATTCTTCAACTAGGATGGATCAGTTGACCAGTGCTCTTTTGGTTTCTAATGCTTTACGATCGTTATTAATTCTTAAAATAAAACTTAACAATTACATCATTTTGATAGTATTGGTTATCGTCAACAATTCATTAATTTCGAGTTCTTTTATACGTTTCCACTGTTGTTGTTCATATGTGATATGAATCAGTTATTCTACCTGAATTTTAAAAAATCAACTATAAAATGAATATTTGAATTAATGAGTCGATCTAATCTAAACCACCATTGAAAACCTGCAATCATTGGACAGTCATTTCATTATATTATAGGATTACTAAACAGTACACATTCACGATCCCACATGCTAGACTCGAACTCAGAAACACTGGTCTCGAGCACGAACACTTAACCTTGAGACCATTGAACCAGCCAGTCAGCCAACATCCAGCCATGTTAATGTCTAACTCCAATCGATCCACGATATTGCACAATCATTCATCCATTACTTGAGATAGATACCTGTCTCCACCAGATACCGAATTGATTCCACTGGTCACGGCTTGTCACTAGAACTTCAGAAAATTCATATGTGGTCAGTCACTATTGAGCTCATGATGGTTATGGTCGGAATGTAGGTTTGTGGAGATGCGCAGTATAGAGGAGTCCGACAATGAAACGAAATGTCTGTGCAGTGCTTTCAAGCTTTCAATGGTGCTCTAGCTCAGGTTAACTGATGTTCCCAACTATTAAAAATCACTACAGTCTCCACAGACTCATATTTAATATAACACGAACAATTGAGTATTTAAACAAACTGATGAACGAGCAATACTGATCACACAAAAGTTGCATCATAGATAAACAGATTATTAGGTCACGAATAGATAGATTTAATTATAGTTAATTTTGATAGTTTAATTTGAAATATTGTTTATTCCCTTATTAAAAGTATATGCTACTTTCATTTAAGTCATGTCACAATAGGACAGATAACTTGAAGAACAATTAATTTTATAGAAGACATGTTGTTATCACCTCCTGTAATTATGTAGAATAGTTAGCATAAGATTACATGATTTTATGAGGTCAGTTTTACACTAGAATATTTCATTGAGATGATATGAAATATCCATTTCTAACACATTGTTCATTATTTCAAATGAATTTACTAACAATCGGTTGGATTTATTTAATACAAACTCTTCATATTTCAGTGTATGCAAACTAAGCTGATCTGTCAAAATTACTAAATGATCTTATTTAATGAGTAAACTTAGAGCAACACTAGAAAATAATGATATATTGAATTGTGGGTATTTTGATGTGCTAGATGGTAGAACATAGTCGAAAAGGAGCTCTGGAACTAATTTTCTTGCAATTTTGTATTTATCATCAAGAAATATCTATAGTCTTGGTGGAAGTGATGATCCCAGGGGGATTTAAACCTGCATTACTCAGCTTCACAGTTTGAGACATTACCACTGAATTAATACATCCATGAGTTACATTCTGTATGATTAAGATATTTGTTATTGATTGGTCGTTGAAAATTGTTCAATGTGATTTAGTTTGGTTCTTTAGCGATGACCGAATTCTGCAAATCCAGGATATCTTGTCGACAACCTCCAATTACTTTACACCAAAATATAGTTCACATAATGTCATGTCATTCAGACTAGTGATCACATTATTAACTGATCAACAGTAATGGACTAAACAAAAATTAATTTGGTCATTACTCAGTGATCAGTCAATTGTAACTGTAGGTTTGCATTTAGATTTATAAATTTGTATTGATGAAAAGGTATAACTGTTTCACTATACATTATTACAATGGTACTAAATCCTTACTATGTAATCGATGCTAATTGGGAATATCTGTCTGCGTTTATCACATACTTCTGCTAAAATGTTCTCTTTTTACTTGAAAATTCTAAGTGTTACAATTAATTTTTTATGTTTTTCAAACAATTGAACCAGTTCTCAACACACATACATACACAAACACAGAAATGGTTTTACGAGTTATTTGGAATAAGGGATTAGAATAAAATAAATTATTTTTACGAAGTAAATAAACACGGATACCGACTCAAGAGCTCATATATGTTGTGCTCGAAGAAAAAAAGGAAAGTTTTGAGGTCCACTTAATATGGTTACTTACTGTTGAAGAGTTATGAACTCAAGATGGAAAACTATTGTTCAGTGCTATTGACATTTTAATGGTTTTCTGTGTAACACAAATTCATAATCAAAATGAGGTTGAAGGAAAATTTTAGTGGTTAATACGAGTGTGCTTGGAAAGTGAAAGGTATTTTCAATTATATTAACTAAAGAATTGTATATGAACAAAAGTTCAACCCTATATGTATACTTCGAGTCGTAATACCAAACTAACCTTGGATTTATTATATACAGAGAAAATAGAAAAAAATTATTATCGCTATATGGTACATTTGTATTTTGAACATGGCCTTTTTCTCAACTAGTTCTGTTGAATCAGCCATAAGCAACGGAGGACTTAGCACATATGTCAATCGGGTGAAGTTGTTATACAACACTAGGAATGATGGAAATTTTCAAGATGAATAGCAATGTTGTAGAAGTATCAATGGTAGAAAAGAAAGAATTGGAGAATATTATTAGAAGAGATAAATTAATTAATAGTGTCACAGCTATGAAACGATTTCGAAACTCAGGACTGAAGAGAAAACAAAGGGTTAGTGCATCTGTTCCACTGTAAACAACCGCTAGCCAATTAATTCAGCTCCTCTAATCACTAGTCAAGATAATCGCATGGACTCTAAACTACCAATAAGGCTGAGATCAACAATCAATGAATTCATAGACTGATGTTACGTTGTGGTTTTGCCCCCCTCCACTAGTTTTCATCCAACTTATTACTAATCCAGTCAACATCGCACATAAAGTAGGCTGTGGTAGGGCATACGTAATATATGTTCCAACCAATTTGACTGAATGTTGGACGTTATTTATTTGATAGATATACATTCGTACTTTGAGCTAATTGTAGACAATAAGGCAACATAATGCATATTTTACTGAAAGCTGAAATTGTGACAGTATGAACTTATATGAGCCAAGAATATTGGGGATCGCCTACGAAACTGAAAGATAATACATATAATTACGGAATGATTGCATAATAATCTAAAAAAAGATCCCCAATCTGTATGCTTACTAGTATTACGCATCCTAAATATGTTCCGTCAGATTACTTAAAAAGCAATCATAAAATTTGGCAAAAAAGAATCTCACTACTTCGTGATTTTTAGAACCTTTCAGTTTGACTTAGTCCACAACAGAAAAAAAGTTTTTTTTGTAGTCATATAAATGTGTTTTCAATTGGTATCTATTTCTTTCTTATTACCTGCATATAACTACTGATATTTTCTTTGTTTAAGTAATCTACAATCAATGGGTTCAATAAGTGACGGAAACGAATTGAACGAGGATAGTTCAAAACGAAAATTAAAAAGAGGTAAGCTACAGAAATATTCGGTTTTTATTTTTGAATTGTCACTTTTGATGGTTGAATTATTATTAGTTTTTTGAATATCCCATTTAAAATAATCTATGGTATAACCTGATCACTAAATTAAACTGACTGTTAAAATGGTAAATGTACAACGTAACAGAATTTCTTAATTTGCATGTAACTCAATTCCACCTTGAGGATTGTGTTCTAAAATACCCGTTCGATCAACTTGTACCATTTTCATTGATAAGATAATATTAATGTACAATAACGTAATCCTTACGATTATTTTTGTAATTTAGAGAATCTGTGATGTGTTATAAAGTACAGATATATTTTACTTGCTGCACAAAAACGTACATTGCTTCCTTTCTGAAAATAGTTTTGTCTTTATCTTAGTTGAACTCCTTCAGTTTGACCTCCATTGGGTTTTAGGTTCTCACTAATTTGGACCCCAGCCTAGGAAGAAATAGTTATTCTATGCTTCCTGGTTGTCTAACTGAAATCACTTTGCGATGAAAATTATGCGATTACATATGTACCTTATTTTGTTTGCATGATGTGTTACAACTACATTCTTAGTTGCAATGTATGAATATGTCAATGTTTGACGACTTTTGTTATCAATTTGATTTACTCAAAGCCAACTGATTCAACAGTGTATTTTGCAACTACGAATTTATGATTGATTTTATTATTTAATATAAAATTTCTGGTAATGGATGAAGTTAAGCAATGATAAACATCCAAACAAGGTGATGCAAATTAATGATAATGAGAACAGACATTTTACTATGTATTCATATTTTCTCTTAAGGATACCAAAGCAAGATATATATTCTTAGTACCGTTTTTAAAGTATGTAATGATGAAACTCATTGATTGTCAATATGTGTCAGATGGTTAAAATCTAGCGAAATAATATAAATCTTTGTTATTCTGTTCAAATTGATATTTTATAATAATGCTTAATCTATTATTGAAGAAACTGATTCTGTTACATAGGTAATTGATAGAAAAGGATTCTCTTATATGTACTATTGGAAATGAACTTAGCAGTGGAATGAATTTACCATAGCCGTGCACAATTTTTCTGACCTTGATCTATCTTATTATTACTGTTTATTATGATAATAACAATATATTACTACTTTTTTCTTTAACCTACGGTGTTACTTTCTAACTTCAACCAATCCACGAAGTTGCGCCACCGTACACCATTGTCTTCAGTGAGCTGATACCTCACAACAGACCTGGTTGAACTCCACTGGTAACGGCTTCTCATTAGAACTCCAGGAGTATCTCCTGAAGTCAGTCACTGCTGAGGAATCCCAGGCTAGGACGAAACGGCCGTCCAGTGCTTCCAGGTTTTCCATGGTGGTCTAGCTTCAATTGACTCATGATTTCAACCAGTGAAATTTCTAAAAATCTCCACAAAACCCATTCTGATAATAAATGTATATTTATTTTAACTAATTTACTATTCATCTATATGAATTACTATATTGTAAATTTACACGTACATTTTGTTTAAATTCAGTTTGTTAAAATTGACCAATCATTAATTAGTTTAGTTAAATTTAAGTTAAACTGTTTACTGATTGGTTAATATTGAAAAAAAATTAGTGCGTAATTAAATGTAAGTGAAGAAAAATAAGCAAACTTTATTAGGCTTGAATAGATTTGTATATATGTATATCATACAGAATTCGGTAGTTATTAAATAAATATACCTTAGAAACAGAATAATTATTAAAATGTTGATTAGATAAATGATTCTTCTTTTTTTCATTATATTGATCAATTAAGAATATCGATGAAATTTACTTTTTTTGTTGTTGGTAGAAATGAGTAGAAAAATTACCGAGATAGAAAAATCAGTAGATGTTAAGGTATACTCAGTTGGCAACTGATAAGACTATTTATTTAATCAGCTGAAATAGATATTTCTGTGAAAATATAAAGTAAAAAAAATATAATAAAATCGTAAATATCAGGTTTTTGATAGTAGATAGCACTGGGATTTAAGAAGTATGGTTCATTCTACTTGATGAATCGAGTATAGACTAGACATTTAGTAATTTCTATCTGTGACTAATTAGTAGACTTAAAGATAATATTTCAGTATTTAATATAATCATTTATGAGTTTGAGTTTCATTCGAAACGTTAACACTATAAGGAATATAAATCTTACTGATGATTCCCAAATAGAACGAAACAGGCTTTCATGATTTCACTTCTGAATACTATTCACATTATGATCAACATATAAATGCATGTAATACATGTTCATGGTGTTTGTTTGGTTTACCAATATACTAAATGATTATTGCACTTTTGAATAGTAGTAAGTATGGGAGTAAAGAGTCGAACACATATTACAAGTAAAAACAATGAAAGTTGTTAAGATAAACTGTTTCGGAGTTTCAAGAAATCGCGAACTTAGCTTAACATAAACTGGAAAACTATGAATAATTGGTGAATATCGGGCAAATTTTATGGTTAACGTTACAGGATGACCTTAGTTAGATAATCATTGAAAATTAGGAAGCTCTGAATATGAAGCTTCTAAATAATGAACGTTCACAGATGACTGGATACAGATCTTGCAGATCTCACACGAGTTCTTATATTTTAGACTAGAAGGTTAACATCTAGCGGTTTGCCTATCTAAGTTTAACTAATAAGTTATGTTGTGCAAACATAATGAAGTTTTATTGATGAGTAATTACTTTAAATCCGACACGACTGATTCACTACATTTTATTTAAACACCCTTCAACAAGGAAAACACACACGAGATTTCATGCAGCAAAAAATTAAAAATGTTCACTTTGTTCTGGATATTTTGGTCTTTATTTTTAATTCGAAGAAGCAGAATTTCCAACATGTTTTATATTTTCATTGGGACAGTAACCATAAAAGTTCAAAGAATAAGAGTACTTCACAAAAAATATGACTAGTTCAAGTATATTTTAAATATTTTACATTTGATTAAAGATTTTAATGGATTGGAAACAAAATTAAAACAAGGAGGATAGTCGCTATTTGAATAATCAAGAGTTTATCTCACAGAATGTAACAGTAAGTAACACAATGTTGAAATTCTAAGAAAAATGTTAGCGTTCCCATAGAGTCGTTTTTAGGTTTCGATAATGATTAGTAAATTAGTATCAGCTTAGATTTAGCGTTCCTAACTGATTACTTGCCATCAATTACTTAACACAAGGTAAAATAGAACAGGTCGAATAAACAGTTTTACTGTATAATTTAAATTATTTTTAGCTTTCTAAATACTGAGTTTTACCACTTTTTCGGATAATAAGGTCAACAAAAAGGACTTTGACTACTACCGAACAGTATTGGTTAGAAAATAATAGACACCTTCTTGAGTGAATGTATGAAATGAACATTTGATCCAACTGACACTAAAACCAATTGGGGAAATAAATATTATTGACCTCTTTTTTCTAAAGTCAATAGTTGAAATGAACAATTTTCTACATTTTTTCAAACTGTCATATGATGTAGTGTTCATTGTCATTCATTGCGAATACAAAATAGCAAATTAACCTGAAGTTAACTATCCCATAATTAACATGTATGCACAGCTCTTAGTTAAGATCTAAAGTATTCATACTTCTTAAGTAAAAAACACAATTGGAATATCAATTTTTCTAAAGTTATGTACATGAATAAAACTTTATTCTATATTTGTGATAATTTCACAAAAATATATTATTGGATTGATTGGTCGTTGAATTTTATGTAAATCTTTTATGGATCTACCTCAACACAATTGACTGAGTTAAATAAACTATCAACCATTGTCAATAAAAGTTCTTATTCCTTCTGTGTTTTTAACTTTCTACAATCATTTAGTACAAAAACCACATCCGAATAATTCATACATTAGATAACAGTAATATATAGAAGGTTGTAAATCATAATTTATTAAAAACAAAAAAAAATTCTAACAAGCAAAGATGGATAGTGGCTAGCAGTGGAATCCAGGACTCACGTTTCGTCCAATTTAAGACTGCTAGCCATTATCCATCTTTGCTTATAAAAGCTTGTCAATCAAGGCAATATCGAGGCATACGCACAGTATGCACATATGCCAATAACAGACTGATCAATTGCAGTCTTAAACCTCAATGGGAAAATACAAGCATAACAATACCAAATGAAGAACTTCTAACCTTTATTATTCACCAAGTAGCTTTATCAATTTATTATGAAAACTATCGTCGGAATAGCTTAATTAACTGAAACACTCGAACTTTTGAAATCACCGAGGTTTCGACTTAAATTTCACTCTATTTGATTTTATAATTTAAGTCTAGTAGTATGTACCAAGCATGCAGTTCAAAAGCCAGTATAAAGATGTGCAATCTTTTATTGAATTACATTATATTTTCATCATAGTGGAATCTAGTTGATATTTTCTCATAAATAATCTATTCTATAACTTTATATGCCAACTGAGTATCTTAGTGAAATATCTGTTCGTGGATAATGCATCGGATATCGAAAGATCTTTTAAATCAAAATTCCTACCATTAGTTTCGTTTTTTTAATCGGAACTCACAAATATGACTTTACTGATTCCCCTGAGCAACAGAAGTCATTTAATATTGCTTTGCCTAAAAAGGTTTTTTTTAGTGCAGTATTAAAAATTTATATTTGCATTAAATGTTGGTTTTAATAGCTCACACAGAATTTAATTGTTCATTGCCATAATATTATTTTCACCGAGAAGCACAATAAAACAGTAATTATCATCTTTCATCTGTCGTTTTGTGCATGTCAACAATGTATTCGATGTAAAACTCAGATGGTTACTGAAATTAACAGATTATCGTAACTAATAAAGACAAAGAAATGGGTTAGTATGTATTTTTCATCATATTTTGGTATCTTTAATTGAACAATGAATGTTTTCAAAAAATTTAAATCCCGCGCTTAAATAATTGGGAAATAGATTATTTAATTAGAGCATAGATTTTGACTTATCTGAACTGATAATCAATACAGAAATGAATATATTTATTTAAAACAATAACTATACTTTTAAAAAAGAAAGATAAAGGAATTAAGAAGCTTTACCCTCATAACATCATCATTAAGTCACGTCTAACAACTGTTCACATGCAGTACGTGTAAATGAATAAATAAATAAAAATAAACTGCCCTAGGGTAAAATAAAAAAAGATATATATAGGCGCAAATGAAGATGTATAGAAAGAGAGAGAGAGAGAATGAGGTAACGAAACACTTGAACTAAGCACTATGTGCGAATAATAAAAACATGATTAGTAATTCAGTTTTCTTTAAGAAAAATAACTCGTGTTTGCCGTCTTTCTTAGAAAAAATGTATATGCATATATTCTCAAAAATAGAACTAAATGACAACTAAAGATCTAGAGAAAGCGTGAGTGAGAGAGAGAGAGAGTAAGAATGAATAAGATAATTAATTCAAATGTTTCATGATAAAATTAGACATGGAAACCGAGGACAAAAATAGTTTAATGTATGAGTTAACTTCATCAAAAGAAAATCACTGACTGAAATGAATATTTTACATTAATTACTTATAATTTATCACAATAAATAATCATTGAGTCAAATGTCATCTAAGGTATAAAAAGACTTTTTTTTTGTTGAATATCCAATTATTTAGTTCAAAATGATAAACTACTTAAATGGACATTTTTTCTTTCTTCAAAAAAATGTAAATAAAAAAGAGTATTCAAAGACAGATAGTTTGTTTTAATTCTGTGAAATTAACGTATTGAATTCATTAAAACAAAACTTATTGAACTACATGAAGCTTGGACATTTGTAGCTAAACTTTGAATTGATTTTAATATGAAATTGAATTTTTATAATATTATTATTAGTTATCTAACAGTTATTTCTGGGGATAAATCTAATTTTTTTTTGTAGGAATTAGGGAATTTTGAAAAGGTCACTTTTTGCAAACTACAAAACAAGTATAAATTATTCCATTTAGTGTCAACTCTGATACATTCCCCAATTGTTTTTGCATGATCATAATATGTTTTTTAATCATAATATTTGTTTCAATCTTATGACAATATATTCACAATTGTTTTCTGAAGTTAATAAATCTTCAGTAGATCATTAAAACAATATTTGAAGCGGTTACAAATATTCAAATAAAATTAAAAAAACGAAAATACCAGCTCAATGATCTATAAGTTGAGCGTTCTCCCGCGAGATCTACAGGTCCTGGTTTCGAATCCGGTGGGGTGGGATCGTGGATATGTACTAATGAGGAGTCCCACAATAAGATGAAACGGTCTTTCAGTGCTTCTAGGTTTCAATGGTGGTCTAGCCTCAATTAACTCATGATCTCGACTATTAAACAAATATTTTTAGTAGATAATTCTTATTATGTTATGTAAATTTAACTTTATTAAAACTGACAGAATAGAAAAGTGGTTGTTTGTTTGATAATGGTGATCTGTATTTTAATTCTGATTGTTGTATTTATTCACTGTTAAGTAATTCATAATTCTTGCCATCGTAGTGAAATTTTGAATTTATCTGATTATTACTTTTAAATTCTGAATGTAAACCTATTCCGTCATGTAGTGATCTTGTCCCTCAGAATGATAGTTTCGTTTTGAGCAAAGGATTTCATGAGAAAATCATCAATTCAGTCACCGTATTTATTTCAGTGTTTTATTACATTTATTGAACACAAGGTATCTTCAATTTTCAAGTGTCACTTCCTAGAAACTATTAAAACTATGTGGAGTTTTTTTCGAGTTTTGAAATACTAACCATTATCTACATATTTATGTAATTATGTTAACAAACTGTGACTAAATAAAGGGATTTTCAAAATACCACATTGAATAATTTGGAGTGTTTCAGTTGTGAATGTTTGTATGTGTTTCAAAATGATGTTAATTGACTTTTTGGACAAAATCACCAAGTATTTGTAACAATTTCCTCAGTGTTTAAAAGTTCGACTAACTCTATTCACCTCGAATTAGTTCATCATTGTTAGTGGGTGATTTTTTACACTGATAATCTTAATAAGAATTTTCTTTGAAAAATATAGATTTCAATATCTTGAGCATTGGATTAATTTTTGCAAGCATCGATATGATCTTTATTGTTCATATCAAATAAACAAATTACCATGAAAAAACAACAAACTGGATTTAGTTTATTAATTCAAATAGAAAGGAATATGTCAATGAAAACTAATAATAAGATTCTATGAGTCGAATTTCCTTTCAACTTTAAGCGAATACCTTTCTTTAAACTACGAAAAACCAATATTAACTAGACAATTATTAAAAACTAGGAGGCATTGAACAGTTGTATCTTTCTAGTATAAAAATCCTAAGTGATATATATTCACTGTTTACTAAAGTAGATAATTTCCCAATCTTTACATTTAGTTAAAGTTGTATAAAATTCATTAAGACGACAGTGTTACATAATTTGTTACGGAAATTTTCTATTTCTACTTCATCTAACAATAAGTATAGCGTGTATGTCAAGAAAACTGACATCCTACATTAAACTATCTTATATATTTATTCAATTGATTTTATTTAATCTTTGTACTGTCATCACAGTAATGTTATTCATCAATATGTAAACAATAATAATAATATGTAATTTATCAAAGAAAAGTCAATTCAGTACTTAATTATTTCAATGAGTAATATTTATAAATGTATACAATAATAAAAAAGACGTTAGTAGAACATATGGAGTGATGACATAAGAGTCAACAATATTACTGAATAATATATATTCATAACTTTAACTTTTACACTTGAATAATTATCTGAGTAAACCTATTTAGTTGATATCTTTTAGGTACATTCATTCAGTGAATAAATCATTTCTACTTAATGATTCATGATAGCTGATAAAAATTATAAGTAATAAATATACACAGAATATTTATATACTACTGAAAAGAGAAGAAAAAAGTAATATACATAATTTAAGTGAATAAGAACATTGATTAATAAAAAGGAACTAGCTAGCTATAAAAGACATAAATAAAATGACTTGTTTATTTGTTATGATTAACAGGTAGCTTTGAAAAAAAACCCTGTTTACTGATCAATGTAAATGTACTAACAACCTCTAAAGAATGGGCATTAAAGAGAAAGAATGTAATTGTAAAATCTCAGTGAATGAATTTGAAACAAATATATTCTTTCTCTTTAATGTTTCACATTAACTCGATGCTCAAATATTGTGAAACTATACGATCGAATTTAAACGAATGTTTTTATCTAAAGAATAGGGTTACCTATTGAAATAATCAATTATGAAATGTTTACTTATTTACTTACTACTTACGCCTGTTATTCTTCGTGGAGGAGCATAGGTCACCGACTAAAACTCTCTATCCAACCCTGTCCTGTGTAATCCTTTCCAATTCTTTTTAGTTGTTATTCATTCTTTTCATATCTGCTTCTATTTACCGACACAATGTGTTCTTTGGTCTTCCTCTTTTCCACTTCCCTTCTGGATTCCAACACCAACCAGATTAAGCAAATGAAATGTTTAAATTTCATATTATAGTTCATAATGAACGTCTTTGATAATATTCATAATCATGATATACATGAACCTATGAAGCCTAGACAAATTGCTTAATAAATATCTTGATATTATAGTACTTAAACAATAGCTATTGTTCAGTTCAGTTATTTATAAGTAAAACTTTAACTTGCTTACTTTGTTATCACCTAAATAGTTTCCCGATTTTTGAATTTCCCTAAGTACAATTGAAGAAACTGAGAATAAAGTAAGGAGTTATAACTTGAACCAAGTCAATAGGAAGACCTTAATTAACTAGAAAATGCATTTGTTTTTAAAAAAAATACTACACTTATAGTGTCAAACTTAATGAGTACTACAAATTACAGGTGCATGTGTGCAGCAAAGAGAAGTAGTAAATGAACACTAGCACATCTATAGAATACTTCTTGATTTATCTCGGGTTCACCACCATCTACTGAAATCGTATTGTGAAAATTGTTTCTGATTATGTAAGAAGTTGTCTGAGACGCATCACAAGATATTTTACAGTTGCTTTTCATTATGGACTAATTTATACATCTTGTTTGTCATTGAATAACAGCGAATATTTAACAACCAGTAAGATGGAATTAATTATATCACATATACACCAACGTTTCATTAATATTAATTTGAAATGCAACGAAGTAGCAGTCAAATAGTCGATAGTATTTTAATGTTCATATGGACAGAAAGATTCTATAAATTTTTGCACATAATTTCATAACACAAAAGTACCACATAACATGACTTTACGAATATAAAAAGACACATATAGTCGTACTGCTTCATAAATTGATCATTATCATTACCCTCTTATATAGGTCATTCCGGTGTGAATCAGTTAGGTGGAATGTTTGTTAATGGTCGACCTCTGCCCGATACAACACGTCAACGGATTATTGAGTTAGCTCATTCAGGTGCTCGTCCATGTGATATATCACGTATACTACAAGTATCCAATGGTTGTGTCTCAAAGATATTATGTCGTTATTATGAAACTGGTTCAATTAGACCAAAAGCGATTGGTGGAAGTAAACCAAGGGTTGCTACAAATGCAGTTGTTAACAAAATTGATATTTATAAACGTGAATGTCCGTCAATATTTGCTTGGGAAATACGTGATCGATTATTACAAGAAGGGGTATGCACACCGGATAATATACCAAGTGTAAGTCTAGATTTTTATGATGTATATTGGTAGATTGACTCTTTTGATTCATTATTAAATGTTATATATATTTTAAGTTTAAAGGCCTTATTAGTCGAATTACACAAAAATCTCTCAACAGAGTGGTTTGATCTTTGACCTTTAATCTCTTATAGATCCCATAGTTTCTTGTCAGTTTGATAATTCACTTATTTACAATCAGTCTGTTTTACCTATTATTACAAAAAATACACTCCATGATTTCTTCACACGATACTTATACACTTTAACATACAAAACTTGTTCAACTATTCAGTTTTCTCATAAATAGAATTATACAGTTTTTGAAGGTAAAGTAGTCGGTAACAAATTTTCCTTCCATTGACATATTTGTTTTGATTTCAATTGAGCATACTGATTGTTAGTCAAACAATCAGTAACCATCAACAAGTACTTATTAGATTACACATTTTAGGATGTAAGTAAATGTAAACATTAGTAAACCTTAAAGAGGATAAAGATATTCCTATATGTCATATTTAATAGGCACTACTTCTAAATATATATGACTGTTTTCATTTATCCCGTTATTATTTTTCAAGAAAATATTCTTACAGGATACTCATTTGATTTAACTATCGTGACAGATAATTTTAACTTTATGAGGAAAGGTAAAAAGAAATAGTTGTTAAAGGATGTAGCATCTATCAAGTCATTTTTCAAATGAACAAACGAAAGTATGAGTATATAAATATCTGGATCTTAAATTCTAAGTATAAATTAATGTCAGAAGGGGTTTTGTGGATATTATAATAGTTTCAATGGTTGAGATCATAAGTCAGTTGAAGCTAGACCACCATGGAAAACGTAGAAGCACTGAGTTTGGTGGAGCTCAGATAGAAGTCTGAAGTTTGTGCTGATGATGTCGTTCAGATGAACGATGAAAGCTCCACGACCAAACCATCCAGCTCAGAGAACAAAACTCCACCAAAATCATCCACCTGAGCTACAAATCTTCTCCACCATCTCAAGAAGCACTGAGTGCCCGTTTCGTCTTATTGTGGGACTCCTCGGCAGTGCGCACCCACGGTCTCTCCCCCTGCGAGATTCGAACACAGGATCTATCAGTCTCGCGCACGAGCGCTTAACTACTAGACCACCGAGCCGGCATCCTACGGTGTTAATGTCTAACTTCAACTAATCCACGAAATTGAACGACACATCCACAATTGTCATCAGTGAGTTACTATCTCATAAATTAATGGTCGAAGATAATATTTACATTCGAGTGAAATACACTAATAACGTTTATACATGTTGAATTATTTATTAAGTAATCTTGGATGGGACATTTGATATAATTATTTTTTCTCCTTTACATTACAATGTTGCTTAGGTTTGTTTTAATTAATTTTATTTAATATCTACAACTTTGCATGAAGTATACATGACATAATCAGTCATTTTATCATTTATAAATAATAACCTGTATACATTATTCAAGATCTGAAATTCGTAATGTATATCATTGTAAAAAAGGTGTATTGCTTCGATCATTCATTGTAGAACATGATGAGAATTTGTTAGAAACTATATTTTTCGCTCATTTATTTTATTTCAAACTAATGAGAAGTTTAAGACGATCAAGTAATATTAAAATAGTAAATAAGAGATCTAACGTAGCAACTGATACTCTGTATATCTTTAAAAGTATGTTTGGCTTCAGATGGTTATGTAAACCTCTTACTAATCCCTTTTTATTAATATTAAATGTTAATTTCTCTTAAATTAATCTGTTATTCAACGAGAACTTTATCTCAGAGGTGAATGAACCCAAACTTAATTGCTTCTATATACAATTGGCTTTCTCTCTAGGAAAGGCACTTTCATTTTTCATAATTTTAGTTAAACTTTTTCGATATATTAGATAAATTCATTTATTTCTATAGGGAGGTCAGTCTAAGTTATATACACATTGTTGTTAATAATAGGAATAGATCATGAAATACAAGGTGCAACCACTTCATTTCCTTCGGCAAGGTAATCGTTAGAAATAGTTGATAGGATACCCTGGACCTAGGTTTCAAGCTATTTGGCACTCGTTTGTAAGGTGTATCTGTAATATCGAGGGGGCTGATGCTCCCTGACTAATTTGACCTCATATCACCCATCTTCACAGTTAGAGATGTTGTCATCGAGCTATCCGGGTCGTCACCCAGAATTCAAGTCCAGGGTTTCTTGTTGACTACTTCCAAACATTAGATCATATCTCAACATAGTGCACAATATGTCGGGTCACTTACACTAGTGGCCATGTTGCAACTTAATTAATAGGATTCAATAAACGCTAAGATGGATATAACATCAGTCGCTACTTAGTGATCAATCGATTGTAGTAATTTTGTGCGGAGTAGCATTTCCTTGTTGTTAAGGTCCCTAACCGATCAGGTTCTGTTGCATATGTGCGTATTGAGCGCATGTTTTGATAATATTATTCAGTTACAATTTTCTCAGAGTAAGGTAGTAGCTAACAATGAAATCCAAGACGTGCATTTTGTCCTGTTTGGAACTTATCAACTGGATAGTGTGGACTTTGTCGAGTCACTTAGACTAGTGATCGTAGTGAGACATGATTGATAAAATTCAATCAAAGCTAAAGATCAGATAAATATAATCATTATGTTAGTAGTCAATTTACAATGGTGACATATTTCTATACTCATATTTGCATACTTTACTTCAGTTTGCTTTAGAGATTGAGTTTTCTTTCTTCAAATTTTGATGTTTATGATAATTATCAATTAAATCATATTAAGAGCTAAATATCCTGTAACAATATCAGGAATTCAATTAAAAGACGAACAACAGATTACAACTATTATTAATATAATCCCTAACAGTCTTGTTTATCTGATGTATTTTTTTTCCAGTCTACAAATTAATATTTAAAAAATGAAACATCTTTTTAACATGGATACTACATGGTCAATTGTTGATTATAAAACACAAAATATGTATATAATCTAATTGTCAATGAATTAAAGGGTTGAGACGACTATTGTTAATGACCAATCGAACATATTGAACAAGAAAAAAAAGTAGAGAATCAAATCTGATTCAGGTGTCTTAAAAAAACCCACCCCCCTTTTTCTTTTAAACTAAGTTTTTTGTTATTTTTTTTAAATATAAACTTTCATGGTAATAAGACATTTTCATGGATTTGAAAATATCTATTTACTTAGATACATGTGTCTTTATTGTTCTATAATCAAATATTAGGAAATTCGATGAAGAAAGATGTATAACATTTCAAATAGACTAAATAATCCACTTTGAATAGTGATTAGTTTATTAGAATATAACAAAAGACTGACATTGAATCAATAAATAACAGTGTCATTTAGATAAGAATTATACTGATTAGGGAACAATGGTAATTGGATTTTCGTTATATATATAATCTCATTATATTCTGTTGCCAATGAATCAATTAATTCTTATGAAAGAAAAATAAATTGTTTCCAAATGACAGGTGACCATCAAGTTAAACCTCTATTTATTTACAGAATTTTATGTTTCATTTCTTATAATATTGATCAATGATAGTGTTAGTATGAGCAGTTGACAAAATTTGATTTGTCCTTAATCAATGAATATTTTTCAACAAGAATTTCCCATTTGAATTAGTTCTGAACATAAACGTTTTTTACAACAAATTGATATCTTGTAGAAATTCATTACATTGAAATAACTCATTGAGAATATATTTATCATAATGTTCTTACAATTCTCATGTTGGTTTTTCTTTGACCAACAAATATCCTTGATAGTGGAACTTTTTTTCACTTTGCTGTAAACATAGATAATTACATAATGAAAAAATATATCTTAGATAAGCCTATAGAGAAGAAACACTTTGTAAATAAGAATAATGTCGTTTTCTTATTGTACCTAACAAATCCGTTTATTATCAGTATAGGGTTGTGAAGATTATTAAGTTTTTGATCGAGATCATAAACCTCTGGAACACTGAGTCGGCATTCAACGGTGTTAATGTTTAAACTTAACCAATCCGCGAAATTGTGTGACCATTCTCCACTGTACTGAGGTAGATAGCTGTCTCTATTCGACACGGATCACTGACTCAGTGGTCTAGAGGTTGAGCGTTCTCGCGCGAGACTGAAGGCCCTGTGTTCGAATCCCGAGAGAGAGCTCGTGGATGTGCACTACCGAGGAGTCCCACGATAGGATGAAACGGCCGTCCAGTGCTTCTGGGTTTTCAATAGTGGTCTAGCTTCAGTTGACTCTTGATCTCAGTAAAAAAATATGTTTATTACGACAACCTTGCAGTAGTTAGGGGGGTGGCATTTTCTCATAAGAATTTAATTTGAAGAATGTTTATTTATTATTATTATTCAAATTAGAAACCAATGAAAAACAAAATGTAAAGTTTATAATATTTCCATCTTTATTGAAATGATCAAGTTTGCATGACATAAATTATGAATAAGTGTAAGTGAATTTATTTCATCTTTAAGTTTATTTACTATAAAGAATAAAGTTTAGAAATGAACAGAAATTATTAGAAAAAGAAAATTTTCTCTATTTAGTTCAATTTAATGTCGTGAGATGTTTGTGTATTATGCTAATATTTTGAAACTTTGACTACAATATAGTAAATGAGATTACTTTTATCATCTTTATCCCCTGCCATGCCAATCAAAGTAAAAAGATCAGTTTAGTAATGAAAGTTTTACTGATGATAATCTCAGTAAATTGACTGTCTATTAATTGCAAAGATTAGAATTTATAAACTGAATACTTACTTACTTACACCTGTTACTCCTCGTCAAGGAGCATAGGCCGCTCACCAGCATTCTTCATCCAACCCTGTCATGGGCAATCCTTTCCAGCTCCTTCCACTTGTTATTCATCTTTTTCATACCTGCCTCTTATAAACTGAATATTTGTCATTAAATGTACTGAAAGTTCATCAACAGAGTTCACATTGAAATAGTTCAATGTCATGGAAATTCATCTTAAACGTTACTGATTTTCTTCTTCGTAACTTATTCTTTTTAAATTTATGTCTTTAGTTTCTTTCTACTGATAAAAGTCAATCAAATTACCACAGTTTCATGTTGGATTCATAATATATTAAAAAATTGTAGTTTGTGCTTATTTAATCAAATGACTGTCTTGTTTCTAAACCTTAATAAATATTACAGATTTAAGTAGTTACTTTGAAAATTTCAGATTTACATTTTGACAATAGCATCTAAAAATTTTGATGTTAGACGGTTGTAGATAATCAGCAAGAAACCTTCGACATAGACTTCATGCTAGGTATGAAATTAATTACTCTTGTACAATTCAAATCCTCATTAAACGGGTTATTACTGAAAGACTGCCACCAGGTCAATGACTAACCTGATTTTAAATTACATTGTTGAAGAAAAATATAGAATGTAAAAATAATCATCTCATCTATGAATAAATAATCACTAATGAACTTGTATAAGTTTCTTTGAGATGATTTTGGCATAATCGAAGACACTCAATTGAAAGTCTTTAACTTAATTTTTGTTTACATTAAGATATTCATTACTTTCTCCGCTTATAAAGTAGAAGATACAGCTGTGTGATTACAGATCTATATATTTAGCTTACTCTTACATGATGCTAGTCAATTCATCAGTATTTTAGATGTATCAATCAAATTAATAAATAACATGATCTTAAGTACACAAAAATTACCAGTATTAACAGGTTCAACTCACCAATTAATATCTTATACTAGTCTTCTTATCCATACTGTATCAAATCAATAGAAAATCTGAGAATATTTAGATGTATCGCTGTTCTCACAATATCACTCAGCTAATCATTTAAAGTTTACAGAACTAGTTAAGTAATTCGTTGTTTATCATATAACTGCCCCATAATACTCTTGAAAGGCCTAAGGTGGAGACAGTCCGCTCCCCCTCTCCAAACGCTACCAGGAAAGTCATACTTGCCGCCCTCTCGAGGCAGAAGTACTGTTTGTGAAATCGAGAGGAAGAAAAGCAAATATCCATCTCTCAAACCGGGCTGATGGGTACTATGGACCCACCCATGGGGTTGAAAAACCCTGATATCAAACCAGTGGTGTATAATTGGCTCCAGGATCCTTAGGGAACAAATGTTGCATAAACCCAATACTGGTCACTGGCTACCATGTGTACTAGACCTCTGCATCGAAGGTTTGGGGAGTGGCCTCCTAAGGATGCTACCTGTTTCGGGCTGGACACCCAGAAATCATCCCAGCCTGTACACAAATTGAATGATTATTACTTTTTATGGTGAATACATATTTTGGTGTCCCTTTGCATCAATATTTATGCTTAAATAATCAAATAAATATCATATAATTAATCAAATACAAGTCCATAGAACAATTTTTTTAAAATATTTTATTTTATAGGTCTCATCTATCAATAGAGTTCTTCGCAATTTGTCAAACGAATCACAAAGACAATTGTCGTCTGCCGCAGCAGCCGCTGCTGTAGCTGCGGCCGCTGTTGCCGCTCAAGCTGTTGTACACAGAAATGAAGTGAATTCAAATTCAATGGGTGTATCGAATACAAATCAACATATTTCAACACAAAATTATCTATCAAATATGAAATGTGATTTACATGGTTTAACTAAATCATTTATGCCATCTATGTTTAATTTTACACCATATCATGTTACAAACAACAATAATAATTCAAATAACAATAATAATATCAATAATAATCATAATATATTCACAATGCCACCGTCGATATCACAATTCTATAGTCAACAAAATTCAAATCTAAACAGACATTCTACCAGTTGTTTTAATGATCATAATGTGATTGAATCACATAGAACTGTTCCTAATACACCTCATATACATGCAAATAATACAATCTATTCTAATTTAAATCAAAACCCACACTCACCGATAATATCCTGCTTCCAAACAGGAAATGGTATAAATAAATCTGTCCCGTCGAATTTTAGACATGAAAACTTACACTCGATGCGTTTACCTTATGATAAATTTAATGATTTATTAATAACTGCATCATCGGGCGCATCACAAACTTCATGGGCACAAGCATGGTATTCAGCAGCGGCCGCATCGGCCAATAGTGTCTATTCCAGTTTATATAATTCATCTAATTCAAGTCAGAAAAATGAATTCCTTCAGGAAAGACAGTTTTCACCATCTTTAAATTACTTAAATCATTGTGGATTGCCTGGGTTTTATCAAAACCTAGAAAATGCAGTTAACTCAGTGAATGACACTAATATGGGAACGAAGTGTTCAGGGAATGTGGATATCAATAATGAACTAGATAATCGTAGTATAAGTGAATTATCACCTCATTGTTCTGAACAACGACAACAGTCACATCATCGTCATCAAGAGAAATCATCTATGCTATCTCATCAATCATTGCATAATACATTACATATATATAATGAAAATAGCTCACCAGTGCATCAGTCATTATTATCAAATAATTATGAGTTGAAACCGGACTCTAAATGGTCATTCAATGCAGATTCATTACGTCATTACAACGATCAGCACCATCAAACTATGCATCAACAAGCCGAAAACCATCAGAGATCTAACAATAATTTGTTCAAATCAGAGACAGAAGAATTTAAACAGTTAGTTTCTTCTCTAGATGACAAGGAAAAAACAGATAGACCGAGAAGAAGGTTTTCAATAAACCCATTGTTTACATATGAAAATATAAGTAATGTGAATGAGAATACAGCAAATTTTATGCAGTCACATAAAGACGATGTTGTTAGCACGCATCTACATTATTTATCAAGTAGAGATATGCAAAGTATTGATGAGCAGTCATTTCCTCATATAGATAAGGAGCATAGAATGAACGAATCACAATTGGGAATAGATGATGATGAAGATGATGATAATGACGATGGTGAAGATGATGATTGTGATGATTTGGTTAATTGTAATGCAGCAATTAGTTCAGCATCAGCTGTTTCAAGTAGTAATGAAAATAATGTAAATCAATCGTTATCATCGTCTTCTGCTAAAATCCTAGACTCAAAGTTAACAACGAATTTATATCTTAAGCAAATAAACGATTCTAAAGAAAGAAACATCGGGAGTGAAACATATTCATGTAGAAATTCTGTAAATGAAAATCGAATTGTTTGTGATGACAGCTTCACAGAAAATAACCAGTTACTGATGACAAGTAGGTCATAAATGTTATATATATTACAAATCATTTGAATTCAATTTCGAAACTCCATAATTTAAAGATAACAACTAAACATGATATATCAAACGGTATTCGGTATGTTTTATTGGGTTAATTCTCTGAAAAATTTGCTTTTAGATTATAGAAAGGTTCAAGGCAATAATCTTACTTGATGCTTGTCAGCAAGGTGGATCTACAATCTTGGTGAAACTCCTACTTCAGGTGGAGTTTGGACCTCAGTGTTATATACAGGAAGTTACAAATAAGCTTTAAAATAATTGATTGATCTTCTGTGGTAACGGCCAACATGAGTCATTAAGGCTTGTGACAGAATAAAAACTTGGTCTAGGGAATTCGACCAGCGCTAGGAACTAGGCAAAAATGACATTATTCACTGCCCAGTGATCAATCAGTGTAAATATTTTTGTCCTGCAGTTGGTTAGTCAAAACCTGAATAAATCAGTGAAACTGGCCAGTACGGGTTTGAATATCACTAGGATGATTAATTCGATTAAGATTTTAAAAAAAACTTGCTGATGACGAGGGAACAACACAAAACACAAGTTAAGCGTTTCATGTCGACTACGTTCAACTGCCTGACATCAAAAATAGTCTATGAGATGTTGAATCACTTAAACCAGAGGTCATATTGCAAATTTATCAACAGATTTCAACCATAATTAAAGAATATATAGAGATGAAATTGATTACATATTATTGATTACTCAGTGTGCATCTGAATTCTTCTAACCATCGGAAAACGTTGACTAATGAGTGATAGTATTGTAAAAACTAATCAATGTACACTTCCAACATGAATCAACAGATAAATAACTACTATATTATGGTGTATTTTAAACCGGAGCCATATTCTGTTATCTTAGAATATATCTTCAAATTAGAACATATCTTCTAAATTTTGTAGCGGTCAAATATCTCTCTGGCTGTCCTCTCCAAAACTAAGGTTCAGTTATACATATCCAAAATATTTTCCTTACTACTCGACAAATGTTAAAAACTGATATGAGATGATAAAGTTATAATTGTTATTTGCTGACCGTAAAGCTTGTCCATAGATTTTATTCAAAATGCATGAATCATAGTCTACGATGTACACTATTGAGTACCCGAAATTCCACAGTGAAATAAAGATTTAGAGTCAGTATTCACAATATGATAATACGTTTACATAGTCCTAGGAATTATAATCGATAAGCTCATTACGCACACACTTTAACCCCGAGTCTCAAAGAAACAAATAGAGTGGTACCATTCAGTGCGCACTCGAAAATGCTAGTATGATTAAGTAAGAAATAATCAGAGTCAAACGTTGAACACTGATTGATCTACAGTACGGGTCTAATCTTGTTTATTTTGTATGAAGTTATAGTAATCTATGGTGAACAGTTAATAAGACAGAAAGTTCACTTTATAATGTGATTTGTATTTTTTTGTTCAGATATAGACAAATCACAATTGTATTTTTACATCAGTTTAAATTTGCTAAAAATTATTGTCAGCATTATTATCATAATACACTAAGATTAAATCCTTATTATTTAATGTAGACTGAAAGTCACTATGTATAATACATATATATAAAGTAGATCATAACATATACTTACTTACGCCTGTTACCCCTGATGGAGGAGCATAGGCTGCCCATCAGCATTCTCCATCCAACTCTGTCGTGGGCAAGATTATAACATATACCGAACATTTAATAAACTATAGTCAGAAATATAGGGAGAATCTATTCATATTTGTAAATAAGTATTACGAAGAAAATTAATTAAAAATAGTAGTGATTATTCTCTCCTTTCTGTCTGTTCATCTTAAATTGTTATGTTTTGTCTTTATAGGAGGATCAAATCCAGAATTTTTTGAAAGAGAATTTCATGAAAATTTTACAAGAAAATTAAATGAAATTAATACAAGACATGAACATGAACAACAATATAATATAATGAAAATAAATAGAATGAATGAACTTTTACAGGGGAACAATAATGATCAGACAACTTTACAACAATCACGAACACCGATAACAACATCATCTTCATCATCGTCAACAGTAATGACAGAGAATGCAAATAAATTTATACAATTGACCAATAACATTACTACTACTAGTAGTAGTGGTGTTGGTATTAGTAATGATAGTAGTGATAATATGACAAGTGAAAGGAATGACTTTATACAAAATCAATTAAATACACAATTTTATCATGAATTAAATGAAACACAAGAAACATTTTTAGAAACATTACATGCAAACCAAATAGAACAGCCAAAAGAACTAACTAAAAATAAAGCCTTTCTTAATACAGATAATTCTGATTTATGTGTTAGAACAATGAATAAAAGACCGAATAGTATTACTGCGATTGTTCAATCAATATCAACAACAACATCATCAACATCAATATCGTCGTTGAATAGTTCAAAATCTGAATTGAATGAAAGATCTAATTCTGTATTAAGTGAAATAAATTTCTCACAAATGATTATGACTGATGAAAAATATCAAAGTAATAAACAGAAACAGTCAGACCAACAACAACATCGTCATCATCATCATCATGAGGAGCAACTGCAGCAACAACAACAACAACAACAACAGCAACAACAACAACGCAGTCGTACTTCATTCTCTAATCTTCAATTAGAAGAACTTGAAAGAGGTGAGTTACTCACTTGCAAAGCAATGATCAGGTTGTTAGAAAGAGAAATATCGTAGTGTGTTTTGTTAATAAAGTGTTTTGAATCGACCCTAGATAATGAAAGATCAAAATAACTGTTAGTATGCTAATTTCTATTTTATTAATTACATAGGAGGGTTAGATAGGGATATGGAGAATTGAATATATATATACGTAAATATAATCTATCTAAGCTTCTAGATCGTAAAAGTAAGATACGCGCGGATCCGAAGTCCACAAAACAGCTAGTTGTCTAAGAAAGAGGTCCTTTAATGAGTAGTATACATAAATTTGCTACAAACCTCAACTTGTGAGGTACCTGCAGCGCCTTGAGAGTCTGTAAGTCTGAAATAAAGAAGGATTCCTGCAGTAATAACATAAAGAATTATCAAAAAATACGGTAGTGAAAATGACAGCTAATAGCTGTGTCTAATCCTAATAACAGTTTATCAAAAAGCAAAAACGGAACCAAGAGCACACAATATGGAAATCTTTGCGTTTAAACAAGGACTGAACGGCCGTACAAAACTAAATAACTGCTACGAGGGTTAAGAGAAAATGATTATAATGATAAATACAATAAATTATTATAAGTAAATGTAATTACTTGAGAATATTACAACGATAAACTTACATCACAACATGCGCCCGGAAAATGCTAGGAATTCTACTGTTTACTGAATATTTATATGTAGTATAAACCAATACACAAGAGAGTTGAAGGAAAGTGAATCGAGACGGAGAAATTGAAACCAACTTAACTATATATATTAATGATTTATAATTAGTCATCATTATGGTCCTAGTTTGTCCACTGGTTCTGTAGTTAAATTTGCGGGGAGGTTTGTCTCAAAACTCGTTAGTGGCCCTGATACACTAGGCTACTCGATATGATCCTGAAACTGCTAATGACTGAGTTCGATGTGTGACTAATTGATCTCGCCAGCAGGGAACTACCCTAATCACCAATTGACGATCTGTTAGATGGACGCTGATTAGTTGGAGTTCAAAATTATGTTACTATTAAGCTCACGATTAAATCCAGATCATTTGAGGATAGAATAAAATATGGTGATAGTTTATAAATCAGACGAAAGCTTGATATTAGGTGAATAGAGAAAATGAAAAACTCATCTGTTTATAATTACACGTAAAAAAAAGTAATGTCACTAAAAAGGTTGTCTAGTTTTTAACCTTTTATTTTTCTCTTTACAACAGTTATCTAGATCGATTTTAGGCAACTTCTGAATTTTAGTAACACACACGAAAACAAACAAGATAGTTAAAACTCCTAGATTATTCCTGCTCGTGTGAATATTTGAAAGGATAATTCGACAGAAACTGGACGCCCAAATAGATAGGAGACATTATATGCAAAAATTATATTTGAAATAGTTTCAGCAATTGTAATTTAAGTAATTCTAATGTTTCATATTATAAACTTGTTTGAACTTCCTATATTCTATTGTAAGTTTGATTTTTATTATTGCCCAAAAAGCTTGATGGGATAAACGCTAGAATTATTTTGAATGTCAATCCTTCAGTTTATTTCAAATATAATTCTTATTTCTGTCGAATTCTAAATTTACACATGAAATATAATGCTATAATGACTAATATTCTTGATTGATTTTTAGAATTTGAGCATACACATTATCCTGATGTGTTTTCTCGTGAAAAGTTATCCAGTCGAATCCTACTGCCTGAAACCCGTATACAAGTTTGGTTTTCTAATAGACGTGCAAAGTGGAGACGTGAAGAAAAAATGCGAATGAAACAATTAGCTTCTAGAAATCAACAGAAATCAATTCATCAGTACCATAGTAACAATAATAATAATAACAAGATCAACCCATTAATATCAAGTTTAACAATGACACCAACAATAAAATCTGTTGTAAACACTGCCTATGTCAATAATACTGATATTAGTCTAAAAGATAAAATCAATAATACTTCCAGAACCGTGGAAATAAATAATTCAAATCGTTCAATTTATTCTGGAATTCCAAATAAAAGTAATAATAATAATATACATATGACCAGTTGTATTGATGATGTATCTAATAAAAATATTGATTGTGGATCAACTGATCTACTCAGATTACAGGATGAACATAAAATTCCATCATCTAAAGTTCCTGTAAAAGTTAGTAAATTAAATGATTTCTTATCATTATCATCTACCAGGTATTCAACTACTGATTTATTGGTTAAAAAGAATATTGATGAAAGATATAATCTTTATCATAATCCTTTCTATCATAACATAGAAGAGAAACACTGGACTTATTTACCTCCACATCTACAAATTCAATCACAAAATAATTTGGATCAATCAACAATTGAACAACAAACATGTTTGAGTAATATACAAAATATAACCAAGAATTTTGTTTAAATTTTAAAATCTCGTCACTATTAAGAACAACAATAACAAAAAGACACATCTTAAGTATTTAATTTTGATGAATGAGCAATATCGTTTTCAATATTCATACTAATTTGTTGTACAGTGATTTTAAAATATTTGCAAATATATCATTAATTTATTAGATTGTATACAACCATTTTGTTTGTATGATAGGAACTTATTTCAACGATAGTAGGTAATGTTACTGTTATATCTTGAAAACTGATTTTTCTCGATATACCGCGTATAACAGAGCACTAGAACACCAAAACCCTTCCAAGTCGCAATAAGAAGACAGAAGACTAATGAAAGGAATATTATTCCAAACAGTATCAATCGTAGTACAAAATTGTCAGGTATTTATAGTTTTTAGTGAGAACAAAATCATCATTACAGTCTTCCAATCCGCATACAGGGGGTTATTAGCATTATCCAATTGCGAAGCTACACGTTGGAATTCTAGAACATTCTTCCGAAAGGTGATTGGATGAGACGTCTTCGGCTCCTTCTGAGCCTCTTACAGCTTCCTCGAGTTTCACCGGTAGTCCGTTGTCACAGTTACTTTATTGATTAAGTGAAGAGATTTGTGATTGGGACATTGTGCATTAACTCATCTAGTTTTCTGTAATTTATAAGCGCTAGTTATACAAATCATAGTAAATCTCCGGTTTGATATATTTCATGAAAATAAAAACGAAAATTGTATTTAATGATTCTTAGGTTTATAGTAAAAAATTTCCAAATCCCTACATATTTAATTACATTCACTGGGATTTTACTATGAGGAACTGACGTACTTTAGTCAAGTAGGCAGTATATATCTATGTAATTTGTTTAAAATATTAAATCCTCAGTATTGGTGGAAACCTGGTAATCTAGGAATGCAAAATGAGGACTGATGTAACTGTAGGTAGTGTATTCGATTTTGATTGGCTTGAGCTATTAAGAGGTTCATACCATGTATTGTTTCTATTTAATAATGGCTTGTATGACGAGCATACCATCTCCTTCTGACGGACTACAAATTACACATTTTCTCATCCATATTACTGACTTGTGAAAGTTAACACAGCTACATACAATTCACTCATTTATATATTAAAACCGTTAATTGAAAATTTTATAACTGAACTAATTAGATATGACAAAATTGAATGCTAAATCTTAAGCAAGTCTATATATGGCTGGACAGAAATGATGTAAAATAACTGGTCAGCTTATTAAAAGACATTATTCAATCAGATGGAACTTGCTAACCCATGTTTTAGACTTCTTTCTGGATCATATCCTAACAATCATGTGTTCAGAACTGATGAAGTGGTATGTTTCTTGAAATGCTTCGACATTCCTAGGGTTTCTTCGATCCACAAATTCGATATTTTCTGAATGTTATTTATCGTCACTGATAGAACTAGTTAGATATCAGGTTACATGACAACTAATCCACTCTGTAAGAACGTTTACCTAAGATTTACGATTAACAGAAGATTAGACGTCAACCGAGATTAGGTCTCCCATTCGAAAGCAAATGAAAATTTTTTGGGAAGAAATAAATTCTATTTTTAAGTTACCGTGTGTAAACACGAGAAACTCTGAGCAACGCAATTCTAACCACGAATAGCAAACTGGTCCTACAGTTTCATCAAGAAGCATAAATCATCAAATAAAACACCGGATCTGTTAATGAACATTATTGAAATGATGAACATATCTAGGTTAAATAAACGTTGAAAACCAGGAAAACACTAAATGACCGTTTTGTTCCAGTACGGGAAATTGACAGTATTCATATTATCATCATCTATGTTTTTCGTCCCACTAAAAATAATTAGTGAACTAACAAATGCATCTGCTTAAACTAAGCCATCATTATTCCTTATGAACTTCAATATGTCATGAACGCTTTAGTATGAGAACGAAAATTTCTTTCCCTACTAATTACACACTTATCACGTAAGCCTTAGTAGTTATCATTTCAGGGAGTTTCGACTTAATTTCTATTTCGAAATATTTGTTTATGTTGTGATGTTTTCTATTATCAACATAAGTCCGACTACATTTATCAGTTTACTAATAATTTATACTTCTAACTTATAATGTATACTTATGTGACCTCTGGCGATGTTATCACTGACTTGTAAATTGTTTTGGTTAGCTTGGTGTGTTTCATAAATGCACATCAATATCACTACATTTCGGAGTAAAGTCTGAAGACCTATTTGAACAATATGGTTTTAATCTTACGTTAACAATAAGTAGAAATTAAATATGGAGCTGAGACAAATAATTCGTCCAGAAATCTGCCCATCAAATTCTATACTTTTATTATTTATTTAAACTGATTATGAAACTTAAGGAGGAAGATTGTATTTGTAAAATCTCGGCCAATGAACATGAAGTACATCGAACGTTGAAATTCAACACATAGATTCTTTCTCCTCAATGTCTCACATCGAATCGGCACCCAAATACCATGAAACTAATCGATCGAATTTGGACAAAAGTCCTCATACACTGATTATCAAACTGTTCAGAAAAATAAAAGAAAATGGAACAAGCTACTATATCATCTTTTTACTGCTTCAACTTAACATTCCAAAAGCAAACTAAAATAAAAAAAATATAAAAAATAACTGACTTTTTAAATTACAATTTGCAATATATACACTTCTGTTTAATGTAAAAAGTGAAATAACTACTAAAATTAAACTCAAAGGCAAATAATAACAATAATAAAGGGAAAATTCGTGATATTTCTATTGAAACACTGAATAATTGAGTAAATGCCAGGAGAAATGGAGAAACAACAATAATAAATGATAAAAATGAAATAGAAAAAATGCATTATTTCGAAATTCTTTTCAATGATAATCGGTGCTTAGATATGATTGGTGTGGAATGTTGCGTTGGTGATGTGGCGGTAATAAGTTGAGATGAACGTGACTGACGACGTTGACGTGTTTTCACTAAATCTGCAATACTCATATCAGAGTTATCAAATGAATCATTTGTAAGCTGTGAATTCGATGACATTTCTGAATTGTACGGAGGAGTTTTTATTCTAAATGGATCGGACAACGATAGCTTTTGTTGTAAAAAGAAGAAACAATATATAAATAGTCAGTCATAGTACATATTTTATAGGATAAAATTTTATAGCAAAATAAATGAATATTAAATTACGATGAATTTGCAAAAGTTTGAGGCAAAATACTCAGTAAGCATCAAGCTAAAATTTAGTGATTCAGTCAGTTCGCGTAGAACCAGACAAGCATGTGCATTGGATAAAGTTGATACATCAAATTAATGTGATGAGATCAAATTGAGATGATCATCAGAAACCAAGGTAATAATAATATTGATGTTCAAACAGAGTATAGTTCGAATAGAAAGTTAAGAATTAATAATATGATTTCAAGTTTAAACTCAGAATCCAAAGGGAAAGACAAAAAAGGTGAATAGGTCAGTGAGACTGAACCATATCGCTTAAGTGTTTCAATAGCAGACCATAACAATTGTTTAGATATCAATTAAGTAGCACGTACCTCCCTAAACAATTCAGACCGACGGTGAATGACTTCATGAATTAATTTCATGCGTTAGTCTCACTCACCATAGCTTTCATCTACTATATTTCGACGGCCAGTCAGCCATACGCAACACAGAACTTGGCACATATGTGTACTGGTTTAGGTTGCCACACCACGTTTGCAAATTGAGATAAAATTATCAAGCCAAATACCAAAGTAATACAAGTAGTAACAGTAGTAGTAGTGAAAAAATTAGGTAAAGACGATATAATTCATAAAACAAAAATGAATTAGTGAAGCGAAAAAAATATAGAGAAATTTCGAAATTCAAGATGAAGTGAAAAAGTATCTAAACCAGTACAACCGATTCTGAACCATGTCACTTAAAGTTTCAAACCACTGGTTACGGTAATCGCGCGGATCACAACTAGGTGGTCTGCACCCACCTCATTCCATCTGTCAATGGGATTAGTTCTGCCGTTCCTACCAATCTACACCTACACCAGAAAACTCCCCGTCGGCGTAGGCGGTAGTTGGATATTATTAATACACTTCCCAACTAAGTTGGGGTAGGGGTGGAATGAGTATGGGTAACAAGCGTTTCATCCAATTCAGCAGAAAATTCGCAAAATCATCAACCGACTTGCTGAATTTATGTAGTACCTTATGTCCGCAGTTCACTCAGTTGTTTTAGAGATACAAGCACTGTTTCGGAGACAACTATGGTCAAAGGCTCGTAAACTATCTGTTTCAGAATTTCAAGGTAATAGGAAGCCAACGACTACCCTAGTTTTCTGGAATACTCGAAGTCAATGTATGGAGATGTTATTGAATTTGCTTTATCTTCTCCTAAATAATCAAATAACTGTCCATTCCAACTTCTTACTCTTTAACTACATTTGTTCCTTTCAAGAAGCAATTTTCATGTTCAGATTTCCATCGTTCTTGAAATTATTTCCCACCCTATTAGCTACTGTGGAGTCCCGAATAGAGTTTTAAAGTATTTAGCATGACTACAGGTTATTAAATTTGTTTAGCGAAAGAGTTTGAGTAAAAAATACGGTTAATAGACATAAAAATTTAGTCAGAAAAGTTCTGAAATAAAAAAACATTTCATTTTTTTATTGTTTGTGAATTAGTTAAACAACTCACATTTTCTTTTTCACCCATTGAACTATTCAAAATATCTTTAGGCGATTGAATACATTCTAAAATATCTTTATTATTAGAAAGTTCTAATGAATTATCACATTTATTACTACGTTGGGAACCGCGAGGACGTTTAGCTTTAGGTTCAGGAGTAAAACACGGTTCTTCACGAATAAGTAGCGGGAGAATAATATCAGAAGTTGGTGACTTCGTAATCTCAACGATCTCAGATTGTTTTATTTCGTGAGAAATAGATTTATCTGATACAGATGTAGATGAAATTTTTAGTCCTGGGATACTAGAACGAGAACGGGTTTTTCGTGAAAGACCTGTACGCGAAGCACTTCGATTAGG